CTGCAGACCTGGGTAACACTGACCCAGCCTTCTGTCCATTTCCAAAACATGTTCACCTGCTTCGCCTTGTGGAATCCTCCCTCACCTGGTGAAATAGATAAGCCTGGAACTTTCATCTTCCCCAGTTAACAGATGAGAATGGAGGCTCAGAGCAGTACCTGGCCCAAGGTCAAGAAGCTGAGAAGTGATAGATCAGGATTCAGTCAGGTTTCTTGACCCCAAAGCCCCCATCCTTTTCTCTCTACCTGACTAGCTCTTCCAGTCTGTGGGCCAACCTCTGCGGGCTGCTCTGAGTGGCCGACCCCAGTGTGAAGTGGGTCTCACTGTTCAGAGCACTCCCAGAGGGTTTGTCAAGCCTCCCTGGCCCTTGGCTTTGTGGATGGGCCCTAGGAGAAGGAGATCAGGTTGGTATATGAGCTGGGGATGGCTGGTCTGTGGTAAGAAGACCCCAAGGGAGGCTCCTATGAGTCTTCTCAGCATCTTGACAGACTGTGGCCTTGCTGCTGAGAGCTGGCTCAGCCAGGTACATCACTGTCACCAAGCTCAGCATGGCGATAGTCAGGCAGTGTTTGCTGCCTGAGGTTGCATCAAGCTGGGAATGCCCCAAAGTGGGGGCGTGAGGAAGAGAAGGGGTGGTACCTAGAGGCTGGGGTATCTCTGTCTCAGGGAGACAAACTACAACAAGACCCAGTGAGAAGAGAGGCCCACTCTGGGTGGTGTGGGGCAGGGGCAGGGTCTCCCGGCCTGGGGGTAGTGGCCTCGGGCCGATGAACTTCCCTCAAAGACTCTGGCTGTGGTGACTTTGGCTGCAGAGACACAGACCTTGACCTTTCCCTTCTGAGTGAAACGGTGCAGGCGTTATGCAGAGATGCAGCATCTTTGCTGCAGAGGGAGGGAGGAGAGGAAGGAGGGAGGGAGAGAGCATTCGTCTGGGTCCTGCCCTAGAAATGCTTCTTGTAATAAAATCAGGATGACTTAAGAAATCCATTACCCCTCTTGGCCTCGCACAATCACCAACATGCCCTGGTGGAGACAGGGAGGGGAGAGGCCTGGGGACGAGCCAGGTAATGCGGCCTCAGTCTCCTGACCTTTGAACTGGGGGATGGGGTAAGGTTCCCACCAGCTCTGACCTCATGCGGGTCTGGAGGAGATCTGTTAGGGAGGGGCAGAGGAGGGATTGAGAGGAGATGCCAGAAGGAAAGGAGAGAAGAGGAGGAGCTGGAGGAGAGGAAACTGAAGGAGGCCGAGGAGAGGGGAGGTGAAGAAAGCCATGAGAAAGCGAGAAACCCACAGCACACAGGTGTTCAGGTGTCTGCCTTGCCACCAAGTAGTCTGTGACCTGGGTTGGGCCAGACACTCGGCTTCTACACCTGAAGAGGAGATGGCAGTGCCCACCGCACTGCTGTGAAGGGGGAAAGGGCCGTTTACAAACCGTAAGTGCTGCACAAAGTGATGTGTTGAATCCACAAGGAAAAATAAGAAAGGAGGAAGGGAAGGTGGGGCTGGGGCAACAGGAGACAGCCTTTTCAGGGGGTTCCCTGTCCTGGGGTGTGGACACAGGACAGCGGGTGGGAGTGGCAAGTAAAGAACCCAGCCTAGCCAAGGGAGGATTGGACCAGGAAGGGAACCCATCCTCCCTTGGCTAGGCTCTTTGTGCCCCCTCTGGAGACAGAATCCAGGGGCATCTCTAGCTGAGGGATCTTTGCCTGTGAAAGAACATTCCTCGTGGGGCTGGGCAGGTCGAACGCTACTCCGGCTTCCTTCCTGGAGGCCCAGGGCAAGAGCAGGGCAGTCTTGGGCTTCAGGGTCGGATAGAAAGTCCCAGTTTCTGTCAGACTTAAACTCTTGAAGGGCTGAGGAGGCTAGTGTGAGGGGGACACGATTATAAAATAAAATATTTAGCAGAACCCTGCACAGGAGAACTAGAAGGACAAAAAGAAAAAAATATGGTTGAAGAACATTCTGGAAAGCCCCAAACCAAAACAGGGCACTAGAAAGGTAAAAAGAGAAAAATGTGGGTGAAGAACATTCTGGAAAGCCCCAAACCAAGACAGGGCTCTCAGTCCACATGGGCCCAGCCCCACAGTTCCTCCTTCTACCACTTGTGTATGGATCCCACCGCTCGTGCCTGGATCTTGGCATGTTCGAGGCCAAGGCGGGGAAGCACGGGGCCAGGGTCAGGGCAGCCAGCTCCCCTGGCAGGCTAGATTTATGATTTGGCTGAGCTGGGGAGAGAGGGAGCCTGCGACGATCCAGGGTATGAAAGGCAGCCCAGTGTTTCCTGGAGCAGCCTCAGTGCCAAAGGCAGGGACGTCCATCTGGCCTTGCTGTGTAGTACATTTGTCACCCGGAGCCCGGGGCCCAGACGGCCTCCCTTCTGCTATCCATGGCCACTGAGGCCAGCTCTCACCTTCGGCAGCTTCTGTTTTGGGACCTGCAACCCAAGTAGGTGATGAGTATGTTTTCGGGGAGCTGCCCCCTCCCTTAGGCTTTGCCCTCCAGCTGGCGCCCATCCAAGTTAATGTCTATCAGTGTTCCATGGGGATGAAAAGCCCTGGAGTCAGAGAGGGGAAAGGCCCTCAGGCTAGTGCCGTGATTTCAGGCTGTGTTCTGAGGAGCTCTAGAGCACCTCCAAGTCACCTTAAGAGCTGCTGAAGGAGACTGACAGCCAAGCTCCAGCCCTTGACCCATCAGTGTAGCGCTGCTTCTGTTTGATCTGGATATATACAGATATTCTAGGTAAGATTTCACTTGAAGGATGAGAAACGGAGGCTTAGAGTGTTGAGAATGGGTTCTGCTGCTGAAAAATAAACAGTTTGAAGACCACAAATCTGGTCTCATTTCGAAGAAGATACAATGGGCCAGAGAAGACCAGCAACCCAGCCAGCTGTTGGCAGAATGGGACTAGAACCCAAGCCTCCTGGCTCCCCAGCCATGATCTCCCCATGATACTGGGCTGTCTCACTTCAGGTGCTGGTCTGAGCATTCACGGCCATCCCCTTTTTTCAACCCCAGGACCCCTCTCAAGCTTGTGTGCTGTGTCCTCTCAGCTTTGCCTCCACTGGAAGGGCCTTCAGGATGCAAACCATGTGTGGGCCAGGCCAGCCGCTTTCAGATGTGAAGGGAGACCTCTGTGGCCCACCATGCTTACAGCTTTTTCTGCCCAGAGCCGGTCTGTAGGCACAGATGCTCAGGCTGTGGCCACCCTGTCATCCCAGGGGCCGTTGGTCGTTATCGAGGGTTTTCTGGTAGACCAGAGGCCATTGCCTCTTCTCCCCTTTCGGTCTCTGGAGAAAATTGTCCTGTTCTATTCAGGCCTCCATTTGTCCATTAGGGATTCTGATGGTTGGTGCTAATCCAGCCGCCCTCTGCCATGGTCCCTGGGTTCTGTTTCAGAAAACCCCAAACTAACATTTTTCCCAGGCAAGCAGCTCTCTCCACCCCACCACCCGATGCCCTGCTTCTTGCAGGGTTCTTCCAGCCCTGGCCACAGTCTGCTCCCCAGTTTGGCTTGTCCTGGGTTACGTTCCACCTCCTTGGCTGGACCTGCTCTTCCAACCTGGCATATTGCGCCTCCGCCTCTCCTTTCTGGGTTTACATCCCGGCTTTGCTCCCACTAAACACCCCTCTCATCTCCTTCCAGCCAGGCTCTTTCCCTTTAAGCAGCTCACCTGGGGGCCTCCTTCCCACTGCAAGAGCCGCCACCTCCGTTTCCTAGGATTCCATACAAGAAGAAATAAAGGATCCAGCATCTCTGAGGGCCAGGCATCATGGGGAGCACTGTACCTATTTCATCCTGTTTGATTCTCTGCACAGCCCTATGAAGTAGATATTAATATTCCCACTTGTCATATAGGGAAACTGATTCTCAGAGATTTAGCAACTTGCTCAAGGTCACACAGTTGATAATTTTACCCACCTTGTCCTGCCTAACCCCTGAGCCAGGGCAGTCAACCACAATAGCAAGCTGCCTAGGCGGTCACCTCGCATGGTCAAGCCAATACCCTTAGGACTAGGGTGGCACAGCCTGTGGTGATCTGTCTCCAAAGTGCTCCTCCAAGTACCAAATGCCTCCCTGTGTTTACCTTGTCCCCCATTTCTCCCTGCAGATCCATCAGCACATACCCATCATGGCAGGGAAATGTAGGAAGGAGAGGCAGGGACCTCCTCAGTTTCACAGGCCAAGAAAGACTAATCACTTTTGCACTTGTTGAGAACCATTATAATTGTTTGCAAAGAAGGAGATAAATATGAAAGCCATAGATGGGGTCCTGGCCTCCTCTGTGGGAGCTAAGATATGAAACAGAGAGGTGTTCAGACATACAGGTGGCTGATTCTGCGAAAGGCTATGGAATATCCTCTACTCCCCACTATGCTCTCCGCAGTCCTGGTTCCGAATGAATTGTACAGGCAGCCTGGAGTTACCGCTCATTCTTGTCATCTGTGAGGTGTCTTGGTGGGCAGCACACAGGAGGGGAGGCTGAGGAGGTCCAGATGCAGTGGTGCCGGGCTGATGGCACACTCCAGAAGGGCTTGCTGTCCTCCCAGCCCAGGACCTGCAGGAAGCCTGGTGAGGAGGATGCGGCTCTCAGATGGAAGCAGGTGGGGGAGGCATCTGGAGAATGGGCATGGGGACAGGTGGCCATGCAGGGGGACAATGATCCAAATGGGAGCATAAAAAGACCTGGGCTGGGAAAAGGAGGGTCTGTGCTGCTGACTATTTCGTGAAATGCTGCTGCTTCCAAAGTTGTTCCCTGAGAGTATTCAGCACGGGGAGCCGACTGCTGACAGCAGCAGCTGTGGGGGAGGCAGGAGCGGGAGGGGTGGCATTATCACCCTCCCAGAGCGGGTGGCAAGGGGGCGGGGAGGAAGGGATGGTGTTGGTGTCTCCTGCCTGTTCTGGAATCTGTGTCTCTCACTGCCCATCCCCCCTCCCCCCCCCCCCCCCCCCCCCGCCGTCTCCAAACCCAAGAGGAGAGAGGGATTGGATGAAATTAGAGAGGGGCAGATAGATATACTCTGGGAAGATGCACACACTGCTTCTCGCCCTCCTCTCTTGCTCAGATGCACACAGTCTCTCACACACTCTTACACACACACTCTCTCCCACCCTCGCTCACTCTCTAAGCCAGGGCATTACACCACTGCTCTCTGGTCCAGCCAAAGTTGTAGTATTCCTGGGATGAATAATCCACTCCGCGAGGATAAATCACCCTAAACCATCCTGAGGCGGCTTTGGGGAGACTAGGGAGAGGAAGCCAGCCCTTGTGGAGTGGCCAGGGCTTGGCCAGCTGGGAGGACAGCCTGGCGCTGGTGATTGGTGTGTCACAGCCGGGCTGTGAGCTGCTTCCAGGGCTTTTGTCTGGCGCTGGGAGTGAGGCTCAGCAGCGTGAGGGACAATCAGAGCTGCTCGGGGCAGGCTGCCGCCTTGTGTCCTGCTTTCCCTGTGGCCAGACCAAGCTGCCGGAGCTGCTGGTCAGGTTTTCTCGCTGACCTCACCTGAGCACAGCAGCCTGGATTGACTCTCCAGGGAAATGTTTTCTCCCTGCAAGCAGTAGCAGCAGTCCTGGCTCTCCTGGACTGAGAACCCCTCCTCAGCCCCCGGAAGCCCCGAGCTGCTTTCAGGGATCTGGAACCTGCATGCCTGTGGCCCCAGGTCTGCTCCCAGACGTGGGCTGAAGTCCTGACCTCTGTTGTTGGGGGCGAGGAGTGGGAAAGCCCAGCTTCTTCCCCAGCTCTGGCAGACAGCAGGCTGATGGTGCTGGCTTCCCCGGGACTGCTTCTCTTGCCTGCTGTCTGATTTCCCTGCATGGTGCCCGCAGCTGAGCTGCTACTGGTGAGTACTTGGACAGATGTCCCTTTCTGCGTTCGCTGGATGTGCCCAAGCGAGTCACAGTGGGTTAGCTCTGAAGCTGTATTTTCAGAGACCAGGCATTAGTTTGCCTCACCTCATGCCAGCTGGTTAGGGTGGGAGATCTAGGGAGGAGCAGGGCCAACAGGAGCTAAGGAGGTGGGGTATCGGGGAGCTTGGGCTGCAGGTGTTTTTCTCAGGAGTCGGGAGACCCTGGAAGGAGAAGTTTCTCTTACTGCTTCCCTCTCCTGGTTAGATAGAGATGTGTCTAAGAGCATGTGGAAGGAGGGTGTCTCTGAAGTGCCCTGCACCCACAGGTACTCCAGGCTTTTACTTGTACTCTTGCTGCCAAACCCCTGCTAGGTGATGCGCTCAGAATGAAGAGTGATATCTGCCCTTTCCTTTCCCTGGCCATGTGGCTTATCCCTCCTCCCACACTGATATCATAGTCCTGGAGCCATTGAAAAGCCTCTGTGATCCCGGTTTTGCCCTGGAGCCCCTGACCCGTGGGCTGCTGGGCTTCCAAGAGTCACTTTGCTATCGGCACTGCCAGGAAAGGGCATGGGAACTCTTTTTTGCTTTACAAACAGTGGTAAGTCCCCACTTTGAATATGTACAAAATGAAACACAATGAGGCTGGAGAACCACAGCCCTTGGGACCCAGGGACCCTCTGTTACAGCCTGGATTCCTGCCTACCCATCAAAGCCTTTCCCCTTGGTGGTTACAGTTTTGTTTTCAAAACCTCTTGGGCTGCCTCTGGGAATAAGGAGGTTTAGGGGTTGCTACATGCTTCCTGTGTCCCTAAACGGGTTCTCAGTGATCTGTTTTGCCGTCACAGGGATGCCCGTCTCCCTAGCATTCCTGACATGCCTGTGATCATGTTTTCCTTCCTTTGCGACAGTATGGTCTTTGCTTATATCTCCCTAAGTTTCATGCAATGAGTGTGTTTGGACAGAGTAACCTCTGAGGTCCCACTGGGAACATCCCCAACTTTCCAGAAGGCTGTGTGCAGGACAACTCTGTGGTGTACCTCCACCCCCACCCAGTATACCCCAATCCTTTGGAGCTTGCGGGGAAATCTAAGGCAGGGCTGAAGGACCGTGATTCTGACTCATCTGAGATTTTCCTTCTTAAAATTCATTTGGTAATTATGGCATGGAGGGTGAGCAGTGTTTAGATCAAGACTTCTCAACAGCAGCACATTGAAAGTTGGACGCCAGGCATGGTGGCTCACACCTGTGATTCCAGCACTTTGGGAGGCCGAGGCGAGCAGATCACCTGAGGTCAGGAGTTTGAGACCAGCCTGACCAACATGGAGAAATCCTGTCTCTACTAAAAATATAAAATTAGTTGGGCATGATGGCGTGTGTCTGTAATCCCAGCTACTCAGGAGGCTGAAGCAGGAGAATCGCTTGAACCCGGGAGGTGGAGGTTGCAGTGATCCGAGATGGTGCCATTGCACTCCGGCCCAGCTGGGCAACAAGAGGGAAACTCCGTCCCAAAAAGAAAGAAAGAAAGAGAGAGAGAGAGAGAGAGAGGAGAGAGGAGAGAGAGAGGGAGGGAGGGAGGGAGGGAGGGAGGGAGGGAGGGAGGGAGGGAGGGAGGGAGGGAGAGAGAGAGAGAGGGAGAGAAAGAAAGAAAAGAAAGAAGAAAGAAAGAAAGAAAGAAAGAAAGAAAGAAAGAAAGAAAGAAAGAAAGAAAGAAAGAAAGAAAGGAAAAGAAGATTGGAGATGGAGAATTCTTGGTGGGGTGGGAGGGGACTGTCCTATGCCTTGTAGGATGTTTGGCAGCTCCTCTGGCTTCTGCCCCTGGGATGCCAGCAGCACCTTCATTTGTTTTGTGACAGCAGCTTCATTTGCCTCCAGACATGACCAAAGGTTCCCCAGGGGCAAAATTACTCCTGGGTGAGAACTACTGGTTCAGGTTAACACTGCTCCTGCTGTTACATCTTCTCCTTGGGCCCTCATGTGTCATGGGGTCCCCTGAGACTGGGTCTCGTCCTTGCCAAGTGAAGTGAAGTGAATGTAACCATGTCTGGCCTAAGAGTGCAAAGCCTTGGGCTCTGGGCTTGTGTGATCTTGCTCACGTTCTCACCCAGTCCTGACTGGAGAATCATTTCTCCCAGCCTCCGCCAACTTCCAGCTCTTTCTAGTGGAAATGTGGTGGTGAGACTCAGCTTCTGGTTTGGGTCCTCCATCTGTGCAGTGTGAAGTCTAGGAAGGAAAATCCCACTGCAGGGTACCACCATTCCTTCTTGACACCAGCCCAAAAGCTAAAAGTGGCATCAAGGCCAGTATGGGTTTAGCATCCAGAGCATGTGTGAGTGTACACACACGTGTGAATATATGTACACATACACTTGCTTGCAGCTTTCTGGGTTCTGTACTGAATATGAATGATGTGGGGGTGAGCCCTGCCCTGGGGAGCTGTTGAGTGAGATGGACATCATGTTCTGCACCAATAATGAAATAAATCAATCAAGAGGATTCTGTGCCTTGCTTGGATGAAGTCTCATCCTAGAGGCAAAATACTTCTGAGGAAGAGTAAGCAGGAGAGAAGAGCCTCTTGAGTTTCTTGTTATCAGAATCCCTGTGGGGTCACAGGAGTCCTGTTCTTCATCAGTCCAGGAGGATTCCGTGAAGGAGACATTCCAGACCTATGATGTTGTGAATGTGAGGCAGGGTGGTGTGTGTGCATGTGTGTCATACACTGTGAAGCCCTCGGGTCCTTCCCTTACCCGACAGTGAGTTTGCGGGGCAGGTAGACAAGATAGCTCAGGAGTGCCCTTGTCCTCTCCTGTGCAGGGAAAGTTACTCCCGGTTCAGGTGAACCCTGCTGCTGCTGCCACATCCTCTCCTTGGGCCCTTATGTGGCCTTTGGCCCCATGAGACTGGGTCTCAGCATGGCCAAGTATTTGGCCAAGGGCAAAATCCTTCTGTGTAGGAAGTATTTCCTCCTATATAGGAAAAAAGATGCTACCCTTCTTTCCATGTCTCCAATTGACTCTGCTGAAACTTGTCTTCAGAGATCCAGCTCTGAGGGACTGATAGGAAGCCTCATGTTGCAGGGAAGTGATGGCCAAAATCTGATTTGTGGAAGGAAGCTGAGAGGTGCTCCAGGTGCCACAAACCAGCAAATCAGTGCCTAATCAGCCTGCTGGGCTTTGAAACGCCTTGTGTGATCCATTTGCAGCAGATTTTCTCTGTAATGATGCTCGATTCTGGTAGGTAAGTTACAATCTCTAAACAGCATCTAAAGAACAGGGACAGGGAGGTGTCTGGACAGTGCTGCCTGGGATCTATAGTCACCCAGACAAGCCACAGCATATTGTTTTTACGGTCCTGAGTCTTCATGGCCTCTGCCTAACTATGCAGAATCGGTTTGCCCCAAAGACTGTTTGGGAGCCTTCACCCTTTTCTTCTTTTTCTGACCTTTACTCCCCCAAGGATCCAATTTTCTCTGAAAAGTTCGATAGACATTGGAGTAAGGGAGATAAGTCTTGCCAGATGGGCAGCCTTGGGGTAATAAGCAACTCTGTGATTTGTGCCTTTCCAACCTCTAGAGTGTAATGCTCTGAGGTTTGCTGTTTCATGGCCCCAGGACAGAGCTGGATCCCATGTACTCTTTGTCTTTTCTATTCTGTGCTGGTCTGTATAACTTCCAGAAGTGATGCAAGGTTTACCCAAAGTGGAACAGAGACAGAGAGGTCCTTCAGAGCCCCAGATGCCCACGTGGGCTGCCGTAGAAGACACAGTGAATGTCCGTGAGACCAGGCACAGAATCAGGAAGGCTTCCCAGAGCCCTGGTGGGCCAGTCCCCTCACTATGAGGGGAAGTGCCAGGACACTGCCTCTGAAGCCTCAGTGCACCTCTGCACTTGGGACCTTTCTCCCCACAACTAAGCCTGGCAACATCAGGCAGCAGATCCCAGCTCACAGTCCTCCCTGACCCACCAGCAGCCTCTGTGTGGCTGCTGGGAATCTGCAGGGGCTCTGAGCCTCCCATCTGAAACTGATGGGACAAGGGGCCATCAGTGGACAAGAGGAGCCTCTCACAGGGTTAGGGGATTCCACCGCCGGTCTCCCCCACAACCCTGAGCAGAGGTGTGGACTCTCAGAACATACACTGGTCAGACGCAGAAAGATTGTTTTCCTCTAGCAGAGCAGGGAGAAAGATGTGGAGAGGGTATTTTGGAGAAGAGGGACTCCTGTTCATACTGTGCCAATTAGCAACAGAAACCCCACTGTCCATCCCCAACAGGTGGGATTACTCGGGTAGGGTTCCTCTTGAAGTATACTGATGGCAGGGCCTGCTTCTCTGGATCAGAAGGGCTGCAATCATTCCTGCATTCATTTCTTTATTCAACTTTTACTGAGTGCCCGCAAGACTAGTGCTGGGAGATGTCTCTGGCTTCGAAGAGATCCCAGTCTGGAGGACGACGAGGCTAATCGAGGTGGGGTAGCCCTCACATGGCGTGAGAGCCCAGATGAGGCAAGATTAATTGGTTTTCTGGCCATTCTTCTGGCACAGCTTTCCAGACCCCACCCCAAGACTTTAGGAGGTAACAGATGTGAGGTCAAGTCATAGCTGGAAGCAGCAGGCTTGCTCCGAAACTGCCAAGTCCTAGAGAGGCTTGTTAATCTCTGCCCCCCAGGGTGGCAGGAGGCTCCCCAGAGTCCCTGAGTTGTCTACTCTGTGTTAACTGCTCTCCGTAATCTGTTTGCTCCCTCTCTTCCTCCTGCTGCTGTCTGCCTGCCCAGCATTGGGACTGATTGCTTCGCCATCAGTTTCCCATTCCGCCCCTCCAGGGGGATCCATGTGGTTGGGGTTCTGTAGACTCGACCTTAGCACATGGGGGATACAGAGGGTATTTTAGCTGGGTATGGGCTTTGTCCTCTCCCTTCTGCCTCACCACCACTGGGGTTTCCTGCTAGAGCCACACCTTCATTTCAGGAAACCTGGCTGTTAGTTCCTGGCTCTGCCAT